TTTTGTACTGTACTAGCAAGGAATTTTAGTTAAATTCCTAATGTGCTTTAATTAGGAAATCACAAAGTTCTTTTTTACTTTTCTTGCTGATGATTGCATTCGCAGGGTAACCAAATTTGCGAAGATTGGTTGATTGATCAGGATTCATATTCTCTTCACACAGTATCTGAGTGAAAGCATCTTTAAAGTTATTCAATGAACATCTTTGACAATCTTGTGGCTTCAGTTGCATTCATAGAATGTGCTCTAATAGGAAAAACTCCAATTTTCTCCTTGCTGGGTGTAGAAAGTAACTACGCTCTGTTTTCAATTTAGACTCCCTGTACTCTGATCTAATCCAAGACAGGAGATGCTCAGGGACAATTAGAAGAGACAGAAGTCAAGAGGAATTCAAACCAGACACAAGTCATGACTCCATATATCAAAACTGATTTTAAGTGGTTTTGTTTTTTGAATCTTAAGTAAGTATTCATTTGGGTCAGAGAGATGGCTCAATGAACCGGGGTGCATAATTAGAGTGTGATAGGCCCCAGATTTGATACCTAGCAAGAGACCTCATGGTCCCTTGAAATGACCCTGAAATACAAATCTAGGAGTACTCCCGAACACTGCCAGGTATGACCAACCATGCCCAAAACAAAAGAAAATGTAGAAGACATCTAGAGACTTTTTTTTTATGTAGGAGTACTGCTATTTATTCAGCCACTGATTAGTTGATTGAATTGGGCATGAATTCCACCTTACTTTTTTTTTTCATTTTTTATAATTTTATTTATTGAATCACCGTGAGAGCAGTTACAGAGCTTTCGGGTTTAAGTCTTGGTCATAAAATGAAACACCCGTACCTTCATCAGTGCCCATTCTCCACCCCCAAAAATCCCAGTATACCCCCATCGCACACCCTCCCCCTACCTGTGCGGCAGATGATTTCCACATTACTCTCTCTCTACTTTGATTACATTCAATATTTTGACACCAGACCCACCATTATTATTTGGGATTTTACCCCAACACTCAGATCTGCTGAAAAGGCAACAGTAGACCATTTGTTTTCTATTGCTGGTTATGAATAACATATGATGTCGCGCGACTGCAGTAGTGGCCACGCGATTTTGAAATTCTGAAATTTTAACACTTAAATCTGGAGGGATTTCTGCCAAGACCTGCTGGGTTCTGAGATTTGTTCCTGAGTCTCTTGGATCATGGCCATTAAGCAGCTTGATCAGGAGTCAGAGAGACCATTCGTGGGTGACGACTCGAGGTCTTGTTGAGACGGGGAGGAAAGGGCTGACTCCACCCCCATCCCATGAGGCCCCCCGTGTCTCATCACTGAGGGGCCAAACCTGACTGTCCAATGGCCTCTGAAGGGTGGTGGCCACTGAGCCGCCTAGGGGGAGCAGGCGGAGGGACAGCACCCTTTCCCCCCTGGAATGGCCCAGTGACAGTAACCTGCTGCAGGGTCCAGATGCATTTCTACCAAAAGCCATTGGGTTCCAAGAATCTAGAGACTTTTTTTAAAAAGGCTTTAAGGGAGAGTTGAATAGAGTTGACATTTGTGCAGGCAATTATTAAATTCAAACATAGAATTATCATTAGCACATTGGGAATTCTGTGCAATATTTCATGGTTTATCCTGTTAGCATGAAGCAGTGATATCATCCAAGTAATTGTCTTTATCCCAGTGAACATTAACCTGTCCTGTTTAAATTTACTAGTAGTTGTGATTTGCCTCACTGTTCTAGAAAATCCAGTAAAACCCTTCTGAGAATATTAAGTAAAGTAAAGGCCCTCCCGTTGATCATCGATTTGCTCGAGCGGGCCCAGTAACGTCTCCATTGGAGACTTTGTTGTTACTGTGTCTGGCATATCGAATACTCCCAGTAGCTTGCCGGGCTCTCCGAGAAGGGCGGAGGAATCGAACTCGGGTCGGCCATGTTGGCTGCGTGCAAGGCAGATGCCCTACCCGCTGTGCTATCGCTCCAGCCCTGTGAGGATATTAGTTTCATAATAAAAAGCATTTTTCTAATGAGAAATTTTTTTTAAATTTTTATAATTTATTTATTTATTTATTGAATCACTGTGGGAAAAGTTACAAAGCTTTCAGGTTTAGGTCTCAGTCATGCAAATATCAAACACCTTTCCCTTTACCATTACTTATTTTTTACCATGAAGAACCCCAATAAAACCCCACCCCCACTCCTCCCAATGCCTGAGAGACAGATGAATTCTAGTTGACACTCTATCTGCTTTGATTAGATTCATTGTTGCAATAAAAGATGCACCACTATTATTTAGAGTTTACCCCCCCCCCCCAAATCAGACATGCTGAGAAAGCATTGTGAAGTGATTCGCTTTCTACAGCTGGGTTCAAGAATTAAATGTTGGTTTTGGATTTCCGCTATTTTGCTAATTAACCCTGGAAGTATTTCTACTGAGAGTCAGATAATTAAGAGATTGGTTTCTGTGCTCTGGAGTCGTGGCCGTGCTGGAGAGCCGCTCGTGGGGGGCAACTGGCGGCCTCGGAAGGGCATGAAGGACGGACCGGAACGCCCCCCTTCCCATGAGGTTTTAGTCGCCCCCACACCCCCGGCTCACACCTGCTCTCCACAAGGCACCCATGTGGCTGCCATCTTCTTTCCAGAGAGGAGAGGGCGAATGGGGCAACACCCTGTCCCCTCCGGACAGACATGATGGCCTGGATTAACGCATAGTCCGTTCACTTTTCTGCTCCAAGCTGCTGGGTTCTGCATTAAGTCCTTGTGCTTCTGGGGCTGTGGCCGTGCTCCAAACTTAACTCTGATTTTCAGGGAGAAACGTTGGGTGATTTACTTCCCATTGATCACTTTGTATATACAGAGATGCGGTTTTGAGGAAAAGTCCTAGTTCCCGCATACTCGAGTTATGCTTGTGAAGGCTTCTGGTCACCGGGGTTCCATCTGGGGAAGGCAGGATGCGGCACCTACCCCATCTGGGACCTCCCGATGATCTCGGCTCTTTTTGGAAGCTGGTGCCTTCTCCGGGAGCTGTGGAGCCAGCCCTCCATGTGACCGTTCTCTGCGGCTGTATGCTGTAAAGATGGCTCTGGGGGGCGGGCCATGGGCATGACTTCCGGAATCAGAGGTTACCTGGGAGCCAGGGTGGTCCCGGCAGTTTGGAGGAAAAGTTCTAGTTCCCGCATACTCGAGCTATGCTTGTGGAGGCTTCTGGTCACCGGGGTTCCATCTGGGGGAGGTGGGATGCGGCACCTACCCCATCTGGGACTTCCCGGTGATCTCGGCTCTTTTTGGAAGCTGGTGCCTTCTCCGGGAGCCGTGGAGCCAGCCCTCCATGTGGCCCTTCTCTCTCTAATGAGAAATTTTGATGTCAGTTTATGAGAATGAAAGAGTTTACAAAAGTCCTTTGGTTATTTTGAGGATTTCATGAGTGTAGATAATTTGCAATACTAGTAATTTATATAGCATATTACATAAATTGAATGAAGAAAATGAAAGTATATTGTAAAAAAAGGGGAACTTGGGCTATTTATGAACAAGCTGTTCTATTAGAAAGAACTAAAATCTCATGAGAAATCTTTGAGCATTTGATGTGTTGGTATACTAAAAACTACACTGAACCAAGTATATAAACTATGCTGAGGGAATAATCTGGCATTGGTAGAGAATAAACAAGTTTATTTATTTATTTTATTTTATTTTATTTTATTTTTATTAGTGAAACACCATGAGGTACAGTTATAGACTTATCAATTTTTGTGCTTGGGTTTCAGTTATACAATGATCAAGCACCCATCCCTCCACCAGTGCCCATCCTCTACCATCATGGGTCCCAGCATCCCTCCAACCCCCCATCCCCCCCGTCCCACCCTGCCTCTGTGGCAGGGCATTCCCCCTTGTTCTCTCTCTCTTCTTTTGGGTACTGTGTTTTGCAAGAGAGGCATTGAGTGGCAATCATGTTTGGTCTATAGACTACTTTTAGCATGCTTCTCCCACCCAGGGAGGGTCCTCACAACACCCTTTATTTGGTGCTCTCTTCTCTATCTGAACTTCCTTTTCACCTAGCACGTGTGGCTGGCCTTCAAGTCATGGAGCAAAATTCCTGGTACTAATCTCAGCCATTCCTGGGTGCTAGTCTCACGTTTTAAACAAGTTGATTTAATTAATATTTTTCATCTTAAGATTCACATAAAACTAGAACAGATATTACAGTTTGCCTTTGGTTTGAATGCACTGGTTATTCTTATTTATATAATATAATAAGAAAGAATGTGAACAGTTAATCGCAAATATGGCAAATGTTTTGGAAGCTCCATTACAGCAAACCTTTTGTTAGGACATATTATAAAAAATAGACTTTTTTTCTTTGGCTTTTTAGGTCACACCCGGTGATGCACCAGGGTTACTCCTGGCTTTGCACTCAGGAATTCACTCCTAGTGGTGCTCGGGGGACCATATTGGATGCTGGGAATCGAACTTGGGTTGGCTGCATGCAAGGCAAATGCCCTACCCTCTGTACTATTGCTCCAGCCCAAGAAATAGGCTTTTAACGTAATTATTACTTTCATTTTCGGGGGTTCTTTTTAGTGGGAAGGGGCACCGAGCTGTGCTTAGAGCTAACTTCTGGCCCCTGCTTAAGAACTACTCCTGGCATGACTCAGGGATACAGGAGATTGATCCCAGGTAAGGAAAGTGCCCTATGGGTGGCAGGCACAAAAGTTGGATATGTGATAAGCAGAGAAAACATACCCCAAACCAAACCTGGACATAAAAGTTTTTGTTGGTGATAGGGAATATTTGTAGTCTATGGTTATTGCCTAATAGATGTGGACAGAGGTGGAGAGGGATGAAGAGAAGAGATGACCATAGATAGAAAGTTTTGGAATGAAATTTGATCTTTCCTTTTTCATACCCTTGTCAGCAAATTCCAGAAAAGGTGTTGCTAACTCATTACTAAGAAAGGAAAAGTTAAATGCACTTCACAAATCTTCAGGATAACTTAAAAAAAATGTCCTCTCATGCCTTTAAGAGCCATTTCTGTTCTCAGGATGGCACCCACAAAAACAAAGAGGGAGATTGTCCCGTGTTCTGCCTTTAGGAGCTATGCATGGCAGTAGGCAAAGTACCAGTTTAGGATAATTTGTAAGGAAGAATCGCTGTCTCTACTAGCATAAACTTTATTTTATTTATTAAAACATTTTTTTCCCGTGTGTGTGTGTGTGTGTGTGTGTGTGTGTGTGTGTGTGTGTGTGTGTGTGTGGTCTATACCAGGCTGTCTTTAGGGCTTCCTCCTTGCTCTACTCTTAAGGATCATTCCTGGTGATACTCGGGGACCACATGGGGTGCTGGGGATCCAATCTGAGTTAGTTGCATGCAAGGCAAGCAGCCTATCTCTGTATTATCTCTCTGGCCCTCTTAGTACTGATTTTATTATCATTTTGTTGTTTATTTGTTTTGGGGCCAAACCCAGCAGTGATCAGGGGAAATTTCTGGCTCTACACTTGGGAATGACTCCTGGCAGTGCTTAGGGTTCCATATGGAGTGCCATCAATGAAACCCGCTTGCCTGTGTGCAAGACAAGTGCCTTACTCTCTGTACTTGGCTCCAGCGCCCACCCCCCACCTTCACTTAGCACTGATTTTTAGAAGTTACTAGCCTAATATGAATCTTCAGTTCATTTATACCTTTATCAAGTGGATCACTTTCTTTTTTCTCCCAATCATTTATATTTTTTGAAAAATAGAAAGTACTGTTCTTTCTTTTTATTTTATAGCTTGTCCACTGTCCACTGTCCTCCCGTTGTTCATCGAGTTTTGCTCGAGCGGGCCCAGTAACATCTCCAATTTTTTGAGACTTGTTGTTACTGTGTTTGGCATATCGAATACGTCACAGGTAGCTTGCCAGGCTTTGCCGTGCGGGCGAGATACTCTCGGTAGCTTGCCGGGCTCTCCGAGAGGGGCAGAGGAATCGAACCCGGCTCGACCAGGCTGGCTGCGCGCAAGGCAAGTGACTTACCGCTGTGCTATCGAAATTACTATTTATATTAGTGGCACCAGGGAGGAGATTTTTTTCTTTTTTATGCACTAAGATGAGTAAAGGCATTATTAGATTCTTACAGAAAGTTTGCTATCTTCATGTCCCAAATCATCTACCACTAACATGCTTACATGAACTGGGGAGATCATACAGGGGTTAAGTGACTTGCCTTGCAAGCAGTCAATGTGTGTCTGGCTGGGGTCATCAAGGCAGGCTTCCTGAGCAACCCCTAAACACAGAGCTGAGAGTACCCCCTGGGTGCCACCACGTGTGGGTCCCCAAATCACAAAATTAATTAATTAATTAATTAATTAAAAAATAAGCCCACAGACTGACAAATGCCTGTTCTGTCATCTGTCTGTTACTCCTAAAAGCACAATGGAAATGATTTTGCCAATGTTAATGAAATGTTCTCTATTTTACTTCCTGAAGCAAATAATTAAATTTGTAGTTAAGTAAGTTATGATTAAGCTCAGACTTTGCTTTCTACCTTCATCTTCTTTTGAGCAGATTATCTCTCAGGAATATTTTTAAATAATTCATCATTTTACTCTTTATCAGGTTAATGATTTTAGAAAAAGAATTTCTACTAAGCAGCCTAATTTCAGCTGCTGTGTATTACAAAGATATCTATAAAATAAGATACATGAATGGATTTCTCCAACTCTTAATTTTATGTACTAAAAACCCTACTATCATGTAAGCATTTATAATTATTTCTGAATCATCTGGTTTACACGGTACTTTCTCTCCTTTCTAATTTTTAGTGTTTAATCACTTAGAGGAAAGTCATAGCATATGGGTATATGGAATCAGGCATTGTTTCAAATCCTAGCATTTCTAGTTATTTTAGAAAAAGCTGTAATTTCAGAAAACAACAGTTAATCTCCTAAAAAACCAACTGAGTGGGTAGGGTACTTGCCTTGCATGTGCCCAATCTGGATTCCATCCCTGGCACCTCATATGGTTTCCTGAGTACTCCCAGGAGTCATTCCTGAACGAGGAGCCAGTAGTAAGCCCTGAGCACTGCCACATAAGCCAACCCAACCTAGTAAGAATAAAGACAACACAGCAAAAACTAGACTATAAAGCAGTAAACATTCACTGTCACCGTCACTGTCCTCCCGTTGTTCATCGATTTGCTTGAGCGGGCCCAGTAACATTGTAAGACTTGTTACTGTGTTTGGCATATCAAATACATCACCGGTAGCTTGCCAGGCTTTGCCATGTGGGCGAGATACTCTCAGTAGCTTGCCGGGCTCTCCTATGGGGGCGGAGGAATTGAACCTGGGCTGACCAGGTCGGCCGCATGCAAGGCAAATGCCTTACCCGCTGTGCTATCGCTCCAGCCCAGTAACATTATTGAATGTTTTTTAGAAAGACATTGCTGTGGACTTAGTTAATTATTAAGAAATTAAGTTTTTCTCATTCCTGTTTGCTGTATTATTTTTTTCCCCTAAAACATTTCTTAACTGTATTATCTCTCACTCTTAGCATTCCTTAGATAAAACAGGTGTTGATTGTCTAAATTTGTGGTGAAGATAAAGACAGTAGACTTTATTTGGTTTATCAGAAAGGACTAAAATCCATGAGCACATGTCACAGGAAAAACAATTAATGCAAAATTTCATGTCAATGAGGAAAGATATTCATTAAGACAGAATTAATATGAGTCTAACAAGAGAGATTTTCCAACAGCAAATTAATTTAATGTGGAATCGAAAATAATTCAACCTTTTAACCTAATTAGTGGTTTAAAATAATTAGGTAATTTTTAAATACGTGGAGTTCATTATTAATTAAAGTCATTAATTATGCTCAATTAACTATAATTCATTTTAATAAATTAACCTAATTTTGTTAATGCACTATAAGATATTAATGCTATAATCAAATTAGCCACAAATATTATACTGAGATTTTTTTCAAAATAAATGAGCATAGAATGCTAATGCTACTAATGATGGCATTTACCATATGTTGTGAATAATACAGATTGATTAAATACATGTAATATAATTATGCATTTTCCTATGTTAGGAATTACATAATGCTAAAATCTTATATAAAGAAGTCGAGAGGGGAAAAGCTGCAATAAGATATAATATAATGAGATATAAATGCTGTTTATAATTAATGCTGTGTGATTAAATTGAAGACCACCACTTTATGTCTTTGTCCTTTGGGTTACTGTTGTTTGGAATTTCTACCAATGTGTGATCTAAACTTAAGTTGTCAGATCAATAACTGATGTATCATCCCAAGGAACTTTAAGATTTTATAGAGGAAACCATTTCCGATAAATGGAATTCACATGTGTGGTATTGTGGGGAGTCACATTTTGGGAAGCCCATGCGTCTTAGTTGAGATGTATAGCAGGTCAAGAGCTAAATTTAAAACTCTCTGTTCATCATATCCTTCTGGAGGAGGTGGTGGCAGGGAGACTTAACCCAACCTATAAACAAGTGGTGATGAAATACAGTCCGGTCCCCTCTGAAGTGCTTGGGCTTCCATTCCAAAGACACGTGAAAAACACAAAAAATATTCAAGATTTCTAAGAACTAATCGTTGAATTAATCAGAAGACAAGGTACTAGTGTTAAGAACCAATTCTTTGTTTATATTGTTCAGAGCAGAAAACTGTAGAAAATTTTCACACACACACACACACACACACACACACACACACGTCCATTTGGTTATAAGCATTTAGATTTAAAAAAAGAACATGAATATAGATTTCATGATTTGTTGAAAGAATTAAATATTCACTATCTGAAAGGAAATATCACACTGTACTTACTTTTCTATTATTAATGAGCATTTTGAAAGGTTTCCTTGGTTTCTCAAGTATGGTTAGCTTTATGAAGGGAGTTTACTTTCAGAAAACAAAGTCTCTTATTCCAGTACTTTATCTGCAATGAGTAATGAAAATCTCACTGCTTAGCTATTCAGGGAAAAGACTATTTATATGGTGACTTTTAAAAAGCCTAAGAGCTAAGCTATTTTAAGGTTTAGGCAAATTGTAGAGTACAGCCCCCAGGATACTGGCATTCTCTTCATAGTACCTTGAGTTCTAGCCTGTGAGTTAGGTATGTTTATTTGTAACATACCTGTTGGTCAAGTTCTTTTGTCCAGAGATTGAGAGAGAATCTGTGAAGCCTTTATCATAGCAACACGTGAATATACTCCCTGTGGGACAGGTTAGATCCTGCCCCCATTTGCCTTTTTTTTTTAACTTAAAAATGTTTTTTAAAATTATGTTTTTGAAATGGATTTTCCCACTGCAAATGGATTTGCTACCACTGTAAATACTGATATAAAATGACCTCATTTCAAAAAATAGGTGGTGGAAAAAAACATAACCACATCACTGAAAATGACAACACCCTTTTTCCTTTCCTCCATTTTTCTGCATTTCAGTCCCCTATGACCCCATGTGGATTTTCCAGTAGATTGTGACTCCTAACTGTTTCCTGGAAGAATTTGAAGTTACAACTTTTGGATGGACTTACTTCAGCCTCTTTTTAGTTTTGTTTTGTGGCCACACCCAGCTATGCTCAGAGATTGCTCCTGTCTCAGTGCTGGGGATCTTTCCTGGTAGTTTTAGGGATTGAACCAGGGTTGACAGCATGCAAAACAAGCATCTTAGTTGCTATACTCTTTCTCTCTCACCCTTTTCTTCTTTGTTTGGGGCAGGAGTGGGGACACATCCACCATTTCTCAGGGATTATTCTTAGTTCCGTGCTCAGAAATTACTCCCTGCAGTGCTCAGGGAACCATATGGGATGCTAGAGATTGAATTCAGGTTGGCCACATGAAAAACAAGTGCCCTACCTGCCATCTCTCCAGACCTCTCTCCAGACCTTTCTAAAATATTTTAATTACAAATTCAATAAATCTGTAAAGAAGTTAGCTGGGAATGGTTAGTCAGCTTTTCTTTATTGATATATTGTAAGTCTGCTCTGAGTTTCTAGTAAGTATACCAAAAAGTGTCAGTGCTCATAAAAATCATCTCCTTTTTTTTGCTCATATGTTGCAGGTGGGAATGAGATCCCGAAACCAAGGTAGTGAGAGTTCATCCAACGGGCATATCTCCTGCCCCAAGTCCTCCATCATTAGCAATGCTGAAGAAAAAAATCTCTCAGAAGATGCAAAAAAGAAGAACAAATCAAATAGGAAAGAGGATGATGTCATGCCCTCAGGAACTGTCAAACGACACCTCAAGCCATCTGGAGAAAGAGAAGAAAAGAATAAGAAAACCTTGGAATTGTCCAAAGAAGACCTTCTCCAGCTACTCAGTATAATGGAAGGGGAGTTGCAGGTAGAGTCAGATTTTTCTGAACTATTAATAGTGTCTTTAGTTTCTACACTATAAAATAAGAGACTTTGAACATATCTCCCTCACTGAGTTGTAAATTTTGTAGGGAAAAGGGCTGTTCTTTCTCATTTCTAAATATTTGTTAAATGAATGAATAAATTAGTAGATGTCAATTTCAACTTGAGGACAAAATGTCTTCATGATATGGTTTTGGTAATAATTTGATACAAGTCCCTGTATTTAGTACTAGATAATTAATGAGGCTATCTAATTTCATCATTGACTATGGTTGAAAACTGTAGAAAAGTAATAATTATTGGATGCCACAATTAAGGTTACTTTTGTTTTTCAGAAAGGAGAATAATAAGAAAGTTAAAAAGAAGGAAAGAGAGAAAGAAAAAAGTCTTTGTTTAAATCGATCTTTTATTCTTTTTTTCCTAACTTTCATCTTTAATTTTATATGTCATCAGAGTTAAGATGAATTCAAATAAGCAGAGAATTGCATTATGAAACTCTAACACCTTAACAAAGCATTTAAAGCCTATTATTTTATTCAATATTAATATTATTATTTATATTTTGAGGAAATATATGAGGAAACTGAGGAAACTCAGTTAATATTATTATTTATATTTTGAGGAAATATAATGAGGAAACTGAGGCCCAAAAGGTTAAGGTCTTGTCTAGATTCATCCCTGTCTTCCTTTTTCTTGGTGCAGTGTTCTTTCCACTGCCCATTCTCACAACTTTCTGAGTTTCAATAAACCTCTGGTCTCTCATGAAGTGTATATTAATTAAGTTTAAGTTACCAAGAATACAATTTGGAGTTGAGATTTAACTGAGTTTCTAAGGACTGGACAATTGTATTTCTGGAAATGGGGAAACAATGGCCCTTTCTTTTCTTTCCTCTCTTTTCTTGAAGAGAAGATGACTTACGAGTTGAATGGCTGTTTTCATTTTCTGTTTTTGTCCGGCTCTTAGCTTGCATGAGATTCTAAGGAAATACTAACAGTTGCATGAAATGAACCCTTTGTTGGCTCGCGAGTGCTGTTAGCCTCAGAGAGATTATTTATGACCCACCCCAAACTAGGGTGGTCTAGCATGAACTGTTCCTGTTCTCATCGGTCTGTGCACATAGATAAGAAAACCCCTTGGGTAAAGAGAAATATAAAACATGCAAAACTCAAGTTTAAAAAGACAAACAAACATGAGTGAGCTTACCATTTATGGCTGAGAAAAATCGCATTTCATTTCACAGCAAAAGATGAAATTTTCCAGAGCACCAGTTCCTAAAATTAGCTTTACCACTCCCAGCAATGTGGCTAATGTTTTGTCTATTAACATTTATGTAAGTAGGAAGAATATCCTACAGTAACTTTTACAGCTGTCTGTAGTCAACAGCTCTTGACCTAGGTGGAAGGTACAATAGTTACCTTGGGAATCCACACAAAGCAATGCCATAAACTTTTCCAATCCTGGTGGCTTAATCTCTGAGGAAGGCTGTTTATCTCCGTGGATTCTGGAAAGTATTTAAGATTCATGTGATTTGCGTGTTCATAGTGTTGCCAGATATGCTTCCAGAGCCCAGACATGCAAAGTATCAGCTCCAATGTGCTAGGCACTAAATAAAATTAGCCAGAAGGCTTTTTGCTTTTCATGAATCTTGTATCAGATAGCTTACCTTACTTTGTGGATGCAATGTTGAGACTCAATAATTAAGGAAAAAGTACTAAATGTTGGGATTGATGCAGTAAAGGAAGGGGAAATTAAGAAACTAGTAGCACTGTAGCACTGTCCTCCCGTTGTTCATCGATTTGCTTGAGCGGGCACCAGTAAAGTCTCACAACAAATTGTGAGACTTATTGTTACTGTTTTTGGCATATCAAATATGTCACGGGTAGCTTGCCAGGCTTTGCTGTGCAGGCAAGATACTCTCGGTAGCTTGCCAGGCTCTCTTAAGAGGGAAGGAGGAATGGATAATTTATATGTAAAGTAGTTCATCTATGAACTATTTAATATATAGACTCATGTATCTGTGTATGAATATATACTTGAAAATATGCACTTTTTGATTTTAGGTTTGTTTAAAATAAGATTGTTTTTGTTTTTAGAACTGTAGATAAGTGAACTTATAGTAGACAGTTATCTTTTATTAGCATTGTCACATGAGACTCTGTGTGTATTGTTGTTGTTGGCTGGAGCGATAGCACAGCGGGTAGGGCGTTCGCCTTACAAGCAGCCAACATGGCCGACCCGAGTTCGATTCCTCCGCCCCTCTCGGAGAGCCCGGCAAGCTACCGAGAGTATTCGATATGCCAAACACAGTAACAACAAAGTCTCCAGTGGAGACGTTACTGGGCCCGCTCGAGTTGTTGTTGTAGTTAAGAGTGGGAAGCACTTGACATTGGTAAGTGTCAGTGAGTTGGTAAAAATGTGGCAACTATGTGCCAGACAAGGGATATGATATGAGGGTAAAAAATGTTGACTAGATTGACTCCCAGCCTTCCAAAGACCAATGATTGCCTTCCCTCTGTAGGGTAGCTGAGTATGACTAAGGTAGGCTTATTCTGGAGGTGCTGTTCCAAGGTTCTATAAACAATCGAAATTAGCCATTGCCTTTGATGTGCCTTATCCAATCCTTTTAGATTTAATTTAATTTATTTGTTTACTTTTTTGCTTTTTGGGTCACACTTGGCAATGCACAGGGGTTACTCCTGGGTCATGCACACAGGAATTACTCCTGGCAGTGCTCAGGGGACCATATGGGATGCTGGGAATCGAACCCGGGTCGGCTGCGGGCAAGGCAAACCCTACCCGCTGTACTATTGCTCCAGCCCCTCCTTTTATATCTTAAACAACACTTTGGAACCAGTTGTGTGATCTATAATAATTTATTGAATTGCATTTTAAACAGATGAACTTCATTATAAATATTGACTCTACAAAATTTGCAAATTTGGGTTTGCTTTTTTAGTTCACTAAGTATTCAGTGAATTTCTAAAGCATACCTTTAATAAAACACACACTTATTTAAATGAAGTTGCATTTTAATGAGTTTTACCTATAATTGATGCCATCAGTACTCTTGTCTCTCTATGATAGATAGTTTCCAAATTTTTCAAACTGTAGATACAGATGCAGATACAAGTCTGTCATTTCAGTGCCATGAATGTCTTTCATTGCCTACAAAGAAGTAGTTAGGATGGTTTCCATTATTACACTTCTTTTGTTGATTATTTCTAATAACAAGCACTTTCTAATCAATTGGAACTTTTTACTCTCTGGGTGGAAAACTAGTTACATATTTCCCAGACTATACTGAAAATAATAAAACTACACCTAGACCATCAAATGGGTATCATGGTTAACTTTCTTTTGTATCTATCCCAAAATAACACTTTAAAGAAACCAGTCTTTTGAGTTGTATTAAAAATGATAAAAGTTCAAAGGAAATGGTACTCACATAAAAAAGTCATAATATAGAAAACTTGGCTTAAGATATTCTTTTAAAATGATTCAAAGATAGGAAACAAGTAACAAGGACAACCATGCGAGCAAGCTGGGTCCCAAAAAGGATTCAGCACGATCGGCCATATCCACGGGATAACCAAGTTCATTGAGGTTTCTCGGGAGTTCAAGATGCTGCTCTGTCTAATGTTCATTGATTTAAACAAAGGCCTTTGATTCTGTTGAGATGGAAGTGGTCATCGAAGCCCTAGCCAAACAGGAAATTCAAACTCAATACATCAGCATCCTCTGTGAGCTGTATTATGGATTCACTACCAGGATCTCACCATTCTACAAGGTAGTGATCATCCATGTCAAGAGAGGGGTGATACCATTTCGCTGAAACTCTTCAGTGCCACCCTCGAGAACATCATGCGACGACTGGAATGGGAAGGAATGGGAATGAGGATAGACGGTTGGAAACTACACCACTTCCGCTTTGCTGATGATATCATTCTAATAACACCAAACATTAGCCAAGCAGCACAAATGCGACCAGCTTCGACCATGAATGTGGAAAGGTTGGACTACAGCTGAATCTCACGAAGACAATGTTTATGGGAAATGGTCTCGTTCCTGACACTCCATTCGCTCTCAATGGAATAAACATTTCCAAATGCAACAGTTATGTGTACCTAGGTCAAGAAGTCAACATAACGAATCACCTGACACCTGACTTGAGCATGAGGAAGAGAGTAGCTTGGAATGCCATCAAGAGCATCAAAGAAATAGCTAAGAGAATGAAGAACCTCCAGCTCTGGGCACATCTCTCCGATTCCACTGTTCTTCCTGCATTAACATATGTCTCAGAGATCTGGGCCCTACGCAAACAGGATGAGAACACTATTCGGGTCTCCCAAAGAGGAATTGAAGGAGCTATGCTTGGAGTATCACGCTTCACTCAAATGAGAGAAAGAATCTGGAGTTGTGACCTCCGTCGACGATCAAGAATCAGGGACGCTGTCTCGTTTTCCAAGGCATTGAAAATCAGATGGGCTGGACACGTAATGAGATTTGGAGATGTCTGCTGGACTAGAGCCATTACTGACTGGATTCCACGGGATGTCAAAAGATCGCGTGGACGCCCACCTACGAGATGGTCAGACCTTTTCGTCAAGACTCTGACCGATCAGTTTGAGGCTGTTCGTGTTCCTAGAATGAGCAGATGACATTGGGCTACACTAGAACGCGACAGGGATGAATGGAGATGTTACTGGCACCTGCTTGAGCAAATCAATGAGTAACGGGATGTCAAGTGATCAAGTGATAGAAAACTTGGCTTAAGCTATTCTTTTAAAATGATTCAAAGACAGGAAACGAGTAACAATTTTCTTGACGCAAAAGAAAATTATTCATTTTATGTAGTAAAGTTCCTTGATATATCCACCTGAATATATTTTAGAAAAAAAGCAACTTCAAGTTGAGTTTTTCTCATTTTCCCTTTGCCGTTATTGTAATCTATCTTGGTGTTTAGAGGTTCAGAGAAAGTAGATAAT